ACTGTAGACTATAGCGAATTTAAGAGCAAACTGTCAGCGCACAATTTCTGTTAATATTACATTTATATCACATATTATTATATTAACGATTATTATATTATTATATTATGAATTATTTTTATCTTTTAACCTGTTCTTGCTGTAATTTTAAAGTAGTAATTAGGATCGGAGATACTAGCTTATAAGCTAATCTAAAATCCGAGGATAAATAAAGTTTATGTATGTATGTATGTATGTATGTATGTATGTATGTATGTATGTATGTATGTATGTATGTATGTATGCCCAGTGAAAACAACAATGACTACTGCACAATATAGAAAACAATTGGCTAGCTCATACATACCAGTGGCAGGTACAAGTATAAATATATTATAGTATACGTGCATACCTGTACACTGTATGGGAATACCACTACAGGTACAATAGGAGTATTCTGCTTGAGCATTTTGGCTCCCTTATCTCTCAGCAGAACTGTGCACATTGTAAGCAACAGTTATACTGCTAGCCCTTTTGGATGGGATGCTAAGCCATCTCAAGTAGCCTTCCAGCATTTTGTGAAGTTTCTCCTGACAATTTGCTAATAAAAACTTGCAAAGGTTTTGCATTTGCATTGGCCAAGTACCTCTGAGCTGTACTGTACAATGTGATTACCTAAATCCATAGGTGGCTTGCCTTGCAAAACAAGAAAATGACATGGCATTACAATTATATGTACTTACATTACATATCTTTATTGGGTCAGAAATCAAACTACCAGACTTGTAGGAAACCCAAACATTAGTCAGCTGTAGAATGAAACTTATGTGATTCTTCAGGGACCCTCCTTGATCAATATTCACCCGTTTCTCATTCCAAATGCTCCACAGCCTTTCCAACTCCAGAACCATAGATTTTTCCACAACCTGGCAATGTTCCTTTACAGTGTATTGTGCCATTCTGTCAAGCATGTGCACAACTGACTGATAGACCTGTCCAGGAGAAAAGAAGAGAGAGGACAAAAGATTCAATCAATCACATGATTTCCTACATGAAGATAAGAGGTTTACAGCAAGTTTGGTCCTCTAATGCCAAAATTTCGAAGAGAGTTGACAGCATAGATTTCCTTCAAATAAAGACCTAACAAACCACCTTTTATTTTGAAGTTTAGCTGTACCTACCAGTTCCCATTTCAAACTAGTGTCAACTGACTTGCTTTGTAATACTCCAGTTTTTGAAAGCAAGACAGGTAAAACAGAATCTGTGGTGGAATGAAGCAGTCTTTTGACTCCTTTCATCATTTCAAAACACAAGAATCCAAGTCCTTGGCATAAGTCTGGCTGTACTTCAAGTGTGCTAAATATTATGTCAAAGAGTTTGCTCAAGTCTCTGCTTTTTCTCATGAGGAATGAAAAACTCTCTGCTGCGAACTGCCGGATGTAGTTCTTTTGTTCACCCATAAGTAGTGGACTGTACAAACTGAAAAATGCATCAAAATAATTTGGATATATCAACAAAGTTGAAATGGTAAATTGGCCTCGGTAACGATTACAAAAGCTGACGTTTCAAGCGTTAGCCCTTTATCAGAGCGAATAGAGGAATTGTGGGTTGTGTGCGCTTTTAAAGGCAGAAAATGGAGCTACGTTATTGGTGGGAACATGGCAACAAGAAAAACATGAATAAATTAGTGGAATGAAAAGCGTTTGTTGATCCCTGTGGGATCACATCGAAACCAGTTGCTAGACATTTTAATTTACCTAATCATTCTAAGCAACATATGGCAATCTGCGGTCTTTCCTTGCACTTAGGTAGAACGGAAAGCCATAAAAAATCTTGAACAAAAGCTCATCTTTCAAACAGGCAGTCTAAATCCCACAGGGATCAACGAACGCNAGAAAAACATGAATAAATTAGTGGAATGAAAAGCGTTCGTTGATCCCTGTGGGATTTAGACTGCCTGTTTGAAAGATGAGCTTTTGTTCAAGATTTTTTATGGCTTTCCGTTCTACCTAAGTGCAAGGAAAGACCGCAGATTGCCATATGTTGCTTAGAATGATTAGGTAAATTAAAATGTCTAGCAACTGGTTTCGATGTGATCCCACAGGGATCAACAAATGCTTTTCATTCCACTAATTTATTCATGTTTTTCTTGTTGCCATGTTCCCACCAATAACGTAGCTCCATTTTCTGCCTTTAAAAGCACACACAACCCACAATTCCTCTATTCGCTCCGACGAAGGGCTAACACTCAAAACGTCAGCTTTTGTAATCGTTACGGTGGCCAATTTACCATTTTGACTTTGTTGATATATACAAATTATTTCGTTACTCGCACCAACACAGCCCCAAACAGTTTCTTTCGAAACTATCAGCCTTTATTCATTTGAAAAATGCATCACATTGATCCATAATTATGGTCAACATAAACAAGTAAAACACATAACAGGGAAAATAATAGGCATCAATAATCACTCAGAGCTATCAAATTACACTAGCAAGTGTTAAAATGACTGCTAAGAACCTGCTGGCTGACCATTTACAGATTTGGCTGAGCTACACACATGGCTTTACATTTCTGAGATCTCATCTCACCAATGTTTTTATTGGCAAGCTAATAATTAGGCTGGAAATTTTTCTCATATGACACTCTGATCCCACAAACAGGAATGAAACTGGAAAGACTTTAAAAGCACACACAACCCACAATTCCTCTATTCGCTCCGACGAAGGGCTAACGCTCGAAATGTCAGCTTTTGTAATCGTTACAGTGGCCAATTTACCATTTCAACTTTGTTGATATATCTATATTACTTCGTTACCCCCATCGACGCAGCCCCAAACAGTTTCTTTAGAAACTATCACCCTTTATTCATTTGTATTTTTCCTCTCACTGACTATAGTGAATTAGTTAATCGATTGAAATCAGGTTTAGAACTCAGAAGAAAAAAATTGTTCAACAAACTACGCCTAAACGAACTTAGATTTATAAGTGTTTTTCGATTCTATAAAAGCTGACCAGAATGGTTCACATACATTAAACAATGGCTAACAGAACTGATGTTTTCAGTAAGCAGAACCACCCTATACAGTAGTCGTCACTTACCTGAGGACATCTTGAATGTCTTTTACCATATACCTCCAAAGAAACTTAAAAAGATAGCTCAGAGTCGTAAATATACACTCCAGTACGTGAGTATCTTGCCAACATCGGTTCAGTAGTGATATAAATACATTAAAGAAACTACTGAAGTAAGGATAGAAGTCGCTCTGCAAGTCTCTGGCCACCTGAACGACCAGATCCAAGAGGGGCTCCAAAGCGAGACTTCCATTCACTTGTAGATGAGTTTTTAGCAGCTCTATGACTTCGTTCTTGTGGTGAACAAGCTGAGCTAGACTATGAGCATATTTTTTTACCTCCGAAGAAAATTCTTGGAAGTGTAAAGTGCAGTTTAGCTCCGTCCATTTAGCAAGCCCTTCATAAAAGAACGTGTCTTCATCCTCTGGGATCTCAGTACTTCTTTGGATTCTGTGAGTGACATCGATTTTTATAGCTGCAATACGATCGGAAAATCCCTTAAACCTGTGCGTATTTGTTTCTTTTCTCCTAACCATGATTTTTGATTTGTTTAAAGACCAAGAATCACCGTCTGAAACCAATAAACCTCTATGAAATAGTCGCCATGTGACTTCCACATTGAACGGCCATGTTGACTTTTTTCCGAGAGAGACTGGATTCCAATGATTAAAATTAGAACCCAGTGTTTTTCTTTTTCTCCAGTTCACCGCTGGCCAATTTGCCGACGGCCTACGACTCACGAGATAAATACGGTTGGGGAAGGGGCAATTTTATTTTTTGCAAACAAAAGTCCGGAAAGATAAAGGATGGATTAAAAAAAATTAAAACGTTCTTTACTTTAAAGTACATAGTAATAACTTTATTATTTATATAGCGCAAATTAAATGGATAAATGATCTAATGCAAGTATGTTGAAATAAAGCTAATCCACGAGAATTTTTCATAGAAGTTTTAATTCTACCGCGAGTCCAAAATGATCTGAAACCAACACGTTTTTTTTCGTCCTCAGCTTTACGATTTCTTTCTTCACCACCTCGAAATTAGAGCTGGTGAAAATTGCATCAAAGTTTCCGTGTTCGATGCTAGTTTCCATTCTAACTTGAAAAACAGACTGTAGGCCAGCCATACGCATAGTTTCTAACAGCTTCTTATACTCCTCGCTGCTGTCACTAATGGTGGGATGATGATTGTCAATATTGAAGTCTCCAGCCAGAACGACGTGCGACCCTGTCTTGAAGTTTTGGACGGCTTCGGCGATTTCCTTCGCTTGCGAAACTCTGGCATCAACTCCATGAGGGTCTAAGTGGGTGTTTATGATGTAAAGATGCTGAGATTTGTGTAAAAACTCGCCTATGACAAATCCCCTGAAGTCTGCCACTTGAGCGGCTGAATAGTGGCGGTATCGTGTTGACGTTGCATTCATTAGCTGGATCCGACTAAAGATGACAATACCACCACTTTGTCCTACATAAGGCGCTAAAAAATCTGCAATCGACGTCCTGTAATGAAATCCACGCTTTTCCATCGCTTTAACCATAAGTGATGCGCATTTTGAGACAACAGCCACTCCTGTATTCAAGATGTAAGCCTCCTGAATGAGTGCAACGTCAAAATCTTTAATGCCTTCTGCAAGACCCTCAATTCTTTCGGAGACGTCCCACATCACATGAGGCTTCAAAAAGTCGCACCATAAATTGTAAGAAATTAGGCGCAGGGGCGCTTCCTCGCTGAAAGTTCTGTGTTGGCTTCTCGTAACATTGTCCTGAATAATCTGATGGAACAAAAGCCGTGAATCATCATCCAGTCCTCCAGTTACGATATTTGAAGCAAACAAAAATACTATCACGGCACAAACTAAAATGGCAAAGGAAAGCCTCACATGTGTCCTCCAAGGTGAATTTCTGCAACTTACAAAACAGAAAAAAAAATCAATCCACGTCTGGCACAACTGGCAACAACGCTAATTATTAGATCTACGTAAAAGAATCTTGGGTCGTTTTTCTTTATCAAGCCAAATTCCTTCAAAGTAGGAGAATCCTCGTAATGTTAGATTGGTAAGACAAAGAGTCGAGGGAGGGTTGTACATCGTTAGGACTAAGTTCGCATACGATGACACACTCGCTCCCAGGGTCTCTCTTGCTATGAGAACGAGATTTGCATGTGGACACAGCAGCCGTTAACTTTTTCCGAAAATATTTCGCACCGCACAAATCAAAATTCCAAGGTCCAAACGATAAATTTTTCCCGAAAATTTCGCTATTAAAAGATCTAAACAAGAAGCAAGTACAATTGACTTGTTGAAATTTCGATATTAAGAAACGATATGCGCGTGACTAGTGAAATACACAACAGACTGCAAAGTACCTGCCACGTTCATAGTGTTTAAATAAAAATAAAGTTAGCGAGTTGCGATAAGCTTAAACTATTCGTTCGCTTGAAAGAAATGTTAATGGACCAGACCTTGAACGACTAGCTACATAAATTCAAGAGCGTTATTAAAGATCTTAAATTTTAAAAAATTGTTTTATTGGTTTATGTAGGTGAATCTTATTTAAAAAATTACAACAAAGCAGTTTCAATTATGCATTTCGAGGATCGAAAAGTACATCAAATAGCTTCGAATCCCGTCTTGCTTGTAGGAACAAATAGGCAAATTTTATGGTATTTTGATAACACAGGTAATATTGCAAAGAATATTTGTACATAGAAATCATGGTTGACGCTCTACCAAGACAGAAGTCGATGAGATGAAATGAGTGCGGTTGCGTGGAGTACATCATAACATGGCGTAAAATCATCAAATTGGGGAACGATTTTTCATAGTCTACAAAAGTTGTATTCTCTGATTCCTTTCAGCTTACCGTTAGCGAAAGATTTTCCAATAATATCGGCGTTTGTTAACGTTGCACAACGCCAGTTCGGTGCTTGAATATCTGACATGTAACACAGATTTACTGCACTTAATTCGACCGACGAAACGGTAAATAAAAAGCTAGCCAGACACGAAAAATTCCTTAATAGAATGTCTACACTGCAGCGAAAACTCAGATCTAATGAAATAAAGCATGACAGAAAATAACAATAACGATTACCCGTACTTACTGCGAGTTCATTTTTCACAAAGCCAATCCCGAAGATGGAAGGTAATCGTTCGATGTGAAGCTGTGAAATTAAAAATGTCAGTAATATCGACAAAAGTCACATCGTCGGTTCTTAAAAAAATCAACGAGAGTATTTATGGATAGTACAGACCAGCTATTTCTTTTCCATCTCATTTGAAAGAAACTTACGACTTATGCAATCAGAATAATTTGCATTATTTAAAAGCAGGACCTCAGGCGTGACATATCAATCACTCGAATTGCGTTACCCCTTTTTCAAGAAGCGTTACGTAACCTTGGTGAGATTCCTGTCAGTGGTAAGCTTTGATCTGCTATAAACCAAGACAATCGTTGAATTCTTCAAAAATTTCTTACCAGAAAGATCGTAACAAAGCTGCACGAAAACTGGATGCCAATGCAAGTCGAAGTCATAGACCACTTTCATAAATGGCTGCCGGATTAATATTCTTTTGTTTAAATTTAAATTAGCCCTTCTGGCCTCGCTTGAGATAATGTAATCTTTTGAATTTTGTACTGGAGAACGAGGCCAGAAGGGTTAATTTAAATTTAAACAAAAGAATATTAATCCGGCAGCCATTTATGAAACCGAAATCTTTTTGTTGGCACGCGTGTAAACAAAACCTTCAAAATGAAAAAAAAATCCAAAGATAGCCAGCGCTTTTTCGTTTACTTTAGTTTCTTTGTTCTTATTCTTTGTTCTTTTGATTCAATATTAAAAAAAAAATTAATTCTCCTTCTTTCAACTTAATTAAATTTTTATTTAGTTATTTATTTACTTATTTACTCACTTCTCTATTCTCTTTGTTTATAATACTAATTGCGTATAAATACCTTGGTTAGTGTAAATAAAGAATTAAAGTAAGGCAGGGGTCGCACTTTGGCCTTATTTTTTTTTATGTCACTTCATAAGTTGTCCTACAAATATGTCGCGACATTTACACCACGGGAGTCGTGGAGGTCGCACTTGTGCGACATAATTGATATTTGAAACCAGACTGTCAACTCTTGATATTTCACGCGTGAAAAAAGAGCACCAAATAAAACTTTGTAGACATGAAGCTGGTGCTAGTTTTATTAGCGACATTTCTTCATTCTCTGTTTAATTTGTTCAATGTACAAAACCTTACTGATTTGTACGCATTGTACAACACTCGCCAACGGCAAATGTTGGCTCTTGCCGCTTTAAACCGACGTCGACGGATGCGAAAAAAATGGGAAAATATCTGCGAGCCAAAGGGTGAAAAGAAGCCATTCCCATACTGAAAAAAATCAGGTGAATAGTGCAAATTTGTAAATTGGTCTGGGTTGAAATTCGCCATAGGGACCAGATAAAACGTGTGCCGAGAAAACCTGCGACTAAAATATTGAACCGATAGCTAGCTGTGCACACGTGTTGTCTTTGCAGAATTGCGAAAAAGTTTTGCTAGTATTTCAGATTTGATCGACGTTGCGACGGAAGAAAAACAAAAATTGTTATTTTAAGGCGATAAGACGAGATATGGCCTGTCTCGAGGCAAGACATCGGCTTTTTTTATCGTTAGGTCCTTCGTACATAGTTATGTCTGGTTGCGACAAAAGGGTCGCACTTGTCGCAAGCACGCGATGACAGATTTTATGTCCAATGTAAACATGAACCAAAAGCGTTAAGTGCGACCCCTGCCTAAAGTAAGTCTTGTGTAAATGTTAAGATACGCCAGTTAATTATACGTGACAGTGGCCAACTCGAAAGCTATGCTACTTTGGTCACTGTGCACATTTTACTTTTGATTATTGATGTAATTCACTGCTTTTTATATATTCTGACTTTTATAATCTGTAGTAACATATTGAAATAGCACGAATAAAGAGTTTCCTTCCTTTCCAGTGAAAAAATAGTTCCGCTCATGGCTATTTGCTTGTTGTTGAGTGCCATTTCATCGAAGTTCTGCTCATGATCAGGAAGCTTGCTGAATTCTTTCAACGTCTGAGAAATTCCAGTCGTTTTCCAAGTTTTCAACGCTTTCAAATTAAAGTCATAGAATTCGTGGACTGATCCGTACTAAAAACGCTGGACACCTTTTAGCCGTAGGCCTACCATTACTGAATGGTGTGTATGTCTGTCAACTGTGAGAGGGGGAGCTTGTGAGGCATTCTTATTTCCTAAGCTTTCTAAAACAAAAGGCAGTATTTTAGTCTTCTCAAAGACAAAAGACAATTACCTCATGAATAAAGGCTGATAGTTTCGAAAGAAACTGTTTGGGGCTGCGTCGGTGGGAGTGACGAAATAATTTGGATATATCAACAAAGTTGAAATGGTAAATTGGCCACCGTAACGATTACAAAAGCTGACGTTTCGAGCGTTAGCCCTTCGTCGGAGCGAATAGAGGAATTGTGGGTTGTGTGTGCTTTTAAAGGCAGAAAATGGAGCTACGTTATTGGTGGGAACATGGCAACGAGAAAAACATGAATAAATTAGTGGAATGAAAAGCGTTCGTTGATCCCTGTGGGATTTAGACTGCCGGTTTGAAAGATGAGCTTTTGTTCAAGATTTTTACGGCTTTCCGTGC